AATAAAATGCTTCAGCAGTTAGGGACATGGAGGTATGAATGGCTCCTCCCAGTTAATGACTTCCCATTTCTCATTGGACTTTTACTGTACATGTGAGAGGAGAGCCTTCCTACGAAAGTCTTTGACTGCGAGAGAAGAGGGAGCCTTTAAGAGGCCCAGGGAGCTGGGTAGAACCTGAAGATGTGGGGCTAGGAAGTAGGAAGAAAAGGTATTAGAAAGTAATATTTCAGATGAGACACATGAAACTGTGGAGGGAGGACAAAGAGGACAGGGCACACAGCTCCATTTCCTCTCGTGTGGAGGACAACAGACGACACCACTGGTCCAAACGCTCTGCTGCTTTGGCAGCTTTTGGACTCTCAGGCAGCTCCTGGTTCTGCAGCTCAGGCTGGCCTTGGATTTGTGAGTTTCCTGGTTTTGCTTCCTTCGTGCGGGGATTATAAGCACTACAATACCATTTGGTGGATGCTTTCTTTATGAATTTATTGTGTGCATATGTAGTGTGTATATATGCATGGGTATGTGAATGCACATGTACCTGTGGTGTGTGTGTGTGTGTGTGTGTGTGTGTGTGTGTGTGTGTACATGGGTATATGGAAGGAATTTGTCCTCTATCACCTCCTATTTAGAAACAGAGTCTGCCTGGAGCTCACTGATCAGCTAGACTGCCCAGCTCTGGGCATCCTCCTATCTCCACCTCCCCAGTGCTAAGGTTAGCGACACATGCCGCCACATCCAGACTTTACATGGGTTCTGGGGATCTAAACTGTGGTCTCCATTCTTATGTAGCAGGCTCTTTACTGACTGAGTCATCTCCTCAGTCCCTGGTTGCTTACTTTTCCATACACACATAATTTGAGATACCAGTGGGGTTGAGCAGCAGATGTAGACATATCAGGGATGCATGAATATACTACAAAATTGAAAGGTCCCAAATTAAATTTTTCAAGAGGAAACATAGATGTAGAGAGATCAGCTACTGCCATGGTGATAACATTTTTTTATGAGACTAAGGTTTGGTTACCTGCCATTTCATATATCAGTAACTTTACCTCAATTAAGAAAAAGATAGCATCAGGCCTGAACAAGTTAAGAGTGAATTTTCTCTCTCTTTCCACCATCTCTCTGAGAAGGCAGACAGATCTCTGTCTGTCTCTCTGTCTCTCCCCCTTTCTTTTCTCTCTGTCTCTTTCTTCTCTCTCCCTTCCTCCACTCCCTTCCCTTTCCAATAAAACTTCCTTTCCATGTTAAAAAAAAGAGTGAATTTGCATCTGAAGGTGAGAAATATCTCTGTTAACAAGAAGGGAGCAACATGCACACATCATTTCTTAGGAGCCTGGGAATAGGCAGCCTGACGGATGGACAGCTCAGGATCCATAGACCCCTGGAAGCCCAGCAGCTGTGCAGTGCAGCTGGCAGCCATCACCATGGCAACATCCCCTCCCAGGAGAGCATCTTGGTCCATGGAAACCAACCATCATTTAAAAATTAACGCAGATGATCCTGCATTGGATTCTGTACAACAAAAACCATTTTTATAGAAATGCCCTTTCTAAGGACGTAATTGGAACAAATGAGCAAGTTTGAATATAGATTGTGAATTAGATGGGTGGTTCTCAAACGTCAGCTTGTTTCAGACTCACCTGGTGAGTTTGTCAAAACACAGATGGCTGAATCCCACCCCAAAAAAATCAGATTCAGTATGACTGGGCTTCCGGCCAGGACTGTATTTCCACCAAGTTACCAAGTGGGTCTGATACTGCAGATGTGAGATTCTGATTGGGAATTATAGTGACTTACATACTCACACTGTTTCAGTGCTAATTTCCCAAATTTTTAATCACTTTAACTGTTGTTATGAAAGAGAAAGTCCCTGGCCTTAGAAAACACAGTAGCTATTTGGGACAAGATTGGGTCCGGAACTTTGTATTAGTTAGCTTTCTGTTGCTGTGACAAAATCCCTGAGAAAATCAATTCAAAAGCAGGAAAGATTTGCTTTGACTCCTGAGTTCAGAGGTTTCCGTCAGTAGTAGGTTGTGTCTATTGCTTTGGGGGCTGATGAGACAGATCATTAGGTAGGAAGCACATGGCTGAGAGAAGACACTTGGCATCTGGGAGGAAAGAACATTCTGACGTCACCTTCAAAGGAATGATGCCAACATCCCCACTTTCTCCTAAGGCTCCACTTAGGAGTTTTTACCACTTTCTAATAAGTAGGCTGTGAAACTAAGCCTCTGTATCAACATGGGCCTCTGGGAGATGGTCAAGCAGTTCAAGATGCAAACTACAACACGTTTATTCTCAAGTAGATCAGGAAGATAGAGTTCGGCTAGATAGAGTGTGTATAAATGGAAAAGAAATAGTGAAGCAAATGTGTACCACACAGAGCAGTAAAACTGGGAGTCTGGGGAATGTGGGAGATATGAGTAGTCTCACAGCCAGTACGGAAGCTCAAATTACAGTATATTAAAAAAAAAACAAACAAACACCAGAATTAGCACAGGAAAAGAAGAGCATGTCAGCTACACCCGTCACACATGGCAGTCATTAGCTGCATGAGCCACTTCATTTTAAGTTAATTAAAATTAAACAATAAAGTTTTTGACATCAAATTCCTGAATTGTAAAGACAAAAAGTCAGCATGACTAGAGGTGACTGTGACAGAGGGCAGCAGCATGGGCCGCTTTTCCAGCACCTTCTACTGAGCAACGCTGACTTCAGCCAAGGGTGTCTTAAGATAAGGAAGTATCGTTAGAAAAATTTAGTGTGCTCTCAGGTGTGGTGGCCAATACCCACAGTCTCATTTCTTGGGATATGGAGCCAGAGGGATGAGGAGTTCAAGGCCAGCTACCGCTACATAGTGAATTTAGGAAAAGCCCGAATTACACAAACAATATATCAACATCTTATGAAAAAAAATGAAGTGTGCCAAAATCACCAGTGGGTAAGATTATCATCATAGTCAATTGTTTTTCTGAAAGAAAAGCTTACCAACTAAAGGAGTTAAAGAAGAAAAAGTATTAAACAGGTAAATTATAGCATAGCTACACTGGAAACACGTTTTCCAGAGTGGCTATTCAATTCAATGCTATCAACCTACACTCCTCATCCGATGACTGATTTTCTTAAGAACCCATTAAGTAAAGAAGTCACATATCTAAGTAACTGGTGTTCATCATCACTACCTCTCTCTCTCTCTCTCTCTCTCTCTCTCTCTCTGTGTGTGTGTGTGTGTGTGTGTGTATTTGTCTGTCTATATCTCTGCCTCCCCGCCACTCCTCCAAGGAGAGCAGGAGCAAGTCAGGAGAGTGGCTAAAGGAGAAAGGCCACGGTTTAGAATATTCCAAGTTCATTCAGATGAATTTGACTACTGGTTTCTTAGTGGCTGGTGCACTAGCAAATGTGAAAGTAGCATGGGTCTTTTGGGTACAGTCTCTACTCTTCCTTCTGTCTCTCAAAAGCATGGCACCCTTAGCTTCCATCTGGTTGTCCAAATTCTTGAAGCAAAACAAGCTGGCCTTCTGCTCCAAAGAGACTTATTTCTTCCTAGCACAAATTCTTTGGGGTTCCAGAGCCACCCAAGTGATGAGCTGACTAATTTGGTTTTCCATGGTTTCAAATCCTCCTAAGAAGTATTTGGATAGTCTAGCCCAAAGACCATCTAGGGATTAATTTTAAGCATGACACCTTTTATTATGCTCTGTCTGACACAACCCCAGTCACCGGCCCTATACCTAACCTCTGAGTTGTAAACACCAAGATCTACACCACAGCTTCATATTGTCCATCTTCTCCTCTCTCATCTTTCTAAGCTTCACACTCATTTGAGACTCAGTAAAGCACAAAGCTGTTACTTCAAGAGAACAGAGAGTAGCAGAGAAAACTGCAAATACTAAGCCATAATTCACAAATAAATAAATAGGACAGACTTATCTAGGGGAAAGAAGACATATTCAAATTTTCAAATATCAAGCAATAGACCTGGAAATCAAAATGCAAACTATGCCCCCGCTGTACCCAGGCCTTGGTTAAGAGTCTAGATGAGCATTCATTATACTATCATAGGATGTTTCAGCAACCTGCCCCCTCAAAATGTAAAAGCATTCCTTTGTGGAGATTCCTTCTTAAATATTCACTCTGACTGATTTGCCAAAGAGGGAAAAAACAATCATTAAAAATGAGTATGTCAGCCAGGCGGTGGTGGCACATGCCTTTAATCCCAGCACTCGGGAGGCAGAGGCAGGCGGATCTCTGTGAGTTCGAGGCTGGGCTGGACCGATAGCCTCCAAAACAATACAGAGAAACCCTGTCTCAAAAAACCAAAAAAAAAAAAAAGAGTATGTCTGTTGTGGAATAGAATATGGGAATTGTGGACTGGTGGTCCAAGAAAGCCTGCTACAATTGGTGCCCAATCATGACACAGAGACTTATTATTAATTATGAATGTTCAACCTTAGCTTAGGCTTGTTTCTAGCTACCATTTTAACCTAAATCAACCCATTTATACTAATTTATATGCAGCCCCAAAGCTTGTTTACCTCATCCATGAACCCTCTACCCTGCTTTCCTGCCTCCTCCATGTCTAGCTGGCTGACCTCTGGCTGGCTGGCCATTGGTTGGCCAGCTGCTCCCTTTTTTTCTCTGCCTGCCAGCACCACCTGTCCCTCCTCTGTCTAGCTAGTGACTGTTCATATTTTTACTAGACCAATTAGACAAGTCAGGTGCCTTAGGCAGATAAAGTGAAACAGCAACACATCTTTACATAGCTAAACAAATGCAACATAAACAAAAGCAACACATCTTTACATAGTTAAACAAATATTCTATTACACAACATTTGTCAATTACTTAGAGAAGATTATTCTTAGCTACAAGACATGAGACACCAGGCCTTTAGAATTCAACTTATTGTTTGATAACAAAATTTTTGAGATATCTCTATATATAAAATTATCATGCAACATATTTTTATAAATATTTCTAGGAGAGGGGAGTCTCACCTCACAGTATTCTGTGATAATGCAAAAATTATCTTGCTCCATGAAACTTGCATGGAACTTGACAATGGCTGGATGATTCAGCCTGGAAAGGAGCTGGGCTTCCACATTGGCCTGAACAGTTTCATTTGGATTTAATTCTCCAACAGAGATTTCCTTGAGTACTTTTCTGTATCCAAAACAAAAGTGTGTATATATAGGAAAAGAAGAAAAGAAAGACATTAAGAGTTGAGAAGCACATTTAACATGTATGAGCAAGTAGTACAGAGCCCCCTCACTATGCCCAGATGATCAGCTGCTCAAGGGTCTGTTCTGCCTGCTATGGTACTGATGTCTTGGGCCAGCTCCCTATCTTGGTAAGTACCATGGTGTCCCATAGCCTCTGACCTCCACACCTACACTCTACAGACTTAAGTACAGACATGGAATCTTGAGCAACATTGCTGGGATGTTCCTCCTCCATCTCATTAGATACTTGGTTTCTTTCATGGTGTCTCTTTCCATTCTGTGTGTTCCATTTTGTTTGAATCTGTTTATCTATAGTCATCACTACTTTTCTATTTCTGTCAATCTTATACATCCTCCTTCCCTCACACCCTTTCTATGTCTTACTCTACTGTGTACATGTTCTCTCCCTCGATCTCACTCTCACTAACTCTTGACCTTACTCTCTCTGCTCTAAAATGTTCCCAAACCTATCAATTGGATGCCTGTCAAAATACACGATATTTATTTATTCTCACCTAACTGCCTAACTGTCCTTGGCATGCCATGCTTTATTACTGGCAGGAATTAGGAAACTGAAAACACTGATAGAGATAGTAACAATTTCTATCAAGGATAAATGGAAGATCTTATTAACTCTCCAAATCATTAATTTAAAAATTGTGATACCATCATGAAGAGCAGATCAAACTACTACCTCTCCCCATCCAAAAAAAATAATCTGATGAGCAAACCAATTATAGTGCCACACTGTAAACTAGATCGCCTGGGGACAGCACTTTAGAACGCCAATTACACTGTGCAGACAGATGCTGCTGATTGCTAGGGAGCCCGGCAGCTCATTAAGACAAGTTCTGTAGGAGTCCTACCAGAAAAACTGTTAAGAGTTACTACCTGGGCATATTAGTAGAAATGCTTAATTAAAGAATGTAACCAACTCATAGGCTAGCATCAGACCCAAGTATGTTTAACAGGTGTTTACTCTGTTCCTGCCAAATGAAGTATTCAAAGCTGGCAGACTCTCTGGCATGCCCATGAACTTCTGTCCTGTTTGGGGGATGCAAACCCAAATCATTGTGTTTAATTCCAGATCTGTTTCTGCCAGTGTACTCACTATTACGAAGTTACATATGATATAAACTGATGGAAGATAAGTATCAGTTTACCATTTCTAGGAAAAATAAACCAAAGGCTTACCAAAAATGTTTCACAATGACAAATGGCAAAACTAATACTTTCATGTTATTGACAGGCCATTTATTAATGGAATAAGCTTATAAAACTGTAGTCTGAACTCAGATTTCGAAGTTCTCAGTCTACCCTGTAAAAGATAAACCTGGATAAATCTATATGGGTGTGCTCTATGAAAAAAAGCTGAAGAGGAATCTAAAGAAGGATTTTAGATTTTGATAATATATAATGGAGTTGAAGATATGAGATGTTTCAAATTTATCTTTCAATGAATGTCTTTTTTTGTTTTTTTCGAGACAGGGTTCCCATGTATTGTTTTTGGATCTTGTCCTGGAACTCACAGAGATCTGCCTGCCTCTGCCTCCCAAGTGCTGGGATTAAAGGCGTGCACCACCAATGCCCAGCTTTTCTTTTTTTCTTTTTTTAATATCATTTTTATTTTAATTTTAAATAGCTTGTTTTACATGTCAATCCCAGTTCCCTCTCCCTCCCCTCCTCCTGCACTCCCCTTCCCCCCCAGCCTCCCACCCTATTGCCAATTCCTTCCACATAGGGGATATCTAGAGTCTGTCGTTTCACTCCGGGTAAGGTCCAGGCATTCCCCTAAGAGTCCAGGCTGAGAGAGCATCCCTCTTTGTGCTATGGGCACACAATGACTGTTTGTATTCCAGGGATAGACACTGATCCACTGCTCAAGGCCCCATAGGTTGTCCAGGCCTTCTCACTGACACTCACATTTGGGGGGGTCCAGATCAGTCCCATGTTAGCCTCCCCGCTGACAGTCTGGGGTCCAAGAGCTCTCCCCTGTTCAGATCAGCTGTCTCTGCTGGTTTTGCCAGCCCATTCTTTGCCAATTTGCTCATCACTCCTCTCTCTCTGCCACTGGGTTCCTTGGGTTCAGTTCAGTGTTTAACTGTGTGTTTGCCTCTGCTTCCATCAGCCACTGGATGAAGGCTCCCAGATGGTTATAGACATCAAGTTCACTATCAGGAATGGGCATTCCAGGTGGTCTCTCCACTATTACATAGCTTGTCAATTGGTGTTATCCCTTTAGATCACTAGAGGTCACTCTGGTGCCTGGTCTGTCTTCTAACCTATGATTCCCTCTTCCCCCTATTCTACCCCCACCCACTCAACTTCCTGTTCCCCCATGACCTACTCTGTCTTTCTCTTCTCCCCCCTCTTCTTCCCAGCTCCCACTCCCCCTTACCCCTCACCGTGTTCCCCATCCATTCAGAGGATCTTGTCTCAATCCTCTTCTCTTGGGTACTATGCATATATGCATATCTTTTAGGTTCTTTCCTGTTTCCCAGACTCTCTAGAAACCATATATGAGTGAGTACATACCATGTTTGTCTTTTTGCGACTGGGTTACCTCACTCAGGATGGCTTCCTCCAGTGCCATCCATTTACCTGCGAATTTTAAGATTCCATTGTTTTTTTCTGCTGAGTAATACTCCATTGTGTAAATGTACCACATTTTCTCCACCCACTCTTCAGTTGAGGGGCATCTAGGTTGCTTCCAGGTTCTGGCTATTACAAATAATGCTGCTATGAACATAGTGGAGCAGATGCCCTTGTTGTATGAATTTGCCTTATTTGGGTATATGCCCAAGAGTGCAATTGCTGGGTCTTGCGGTAGATTAATTCCCATTTTCCTGAGGAATCTCCACACTGATTTCCAAAGAGGCTGTACGAGTTGGCACTCCCACCAACAGTGGAGTAGAATTCCCCTCTCTCCGCATCCTCTCCAGCATAAATTGTCTTCAGTGTTTTTGATTTTAGCCATTCTGACAGGAGTAAGGTGGTATCTCAGAGTTGTTTTGATTTGCATTTCCCTGATAGCTAAGGATGTTGAGCACTTTCTTAAGTGTCTCTTGGCCATTTTAGCCTCCTCTGTTGAGAATTCTCTATTTAGATCTGTACCCCACCTTTTAATTGGATCCTTTGGTGTTTTGGAGACTTGTTTCTTGAGTTCTTTGTAAATTTTGGAGATTAGCCCTCTGTCAGATGTGGGGTTAGTGAATATCTTTTCCCATTCTGTGGACTGCCTTTTTGTCTTGTTGAAATGCCCAGCTTTTCAATGAATGTCATTCCAATTTACTAATTGTTTCTTCTACCCATCCAAGTACCCGCCCCAATTACACGAAACAGAGTGCTACAAGCTTTTCATTCAAGCAGACAAGTCTTTCCCTCCAGCTGTACTACTGTGAAAGAACAGCAGTCACCTGGGGCAATGCTAGACCTTACTACTTCAGTCATCTTGGGGCTCAGAAGTTTTGTGATTGCAGTCAGTGTGGTATTGTGGACCTTTGAATGACAATCTATGGTTTAAATGTTTTCAGTAGCATTATAAATTAAGAGGGCAGGCAGATGCTTCAGTATCAGTTGCACAAGAATGAGGACCTGGGTTTGGATCCCTAAGTATCGAGTATAATTTGCATATGTTGGACAAAGGAATCCATGGGGCTCACTGGCCAGCCAGTCTAGCCAATCAGTGAATTCTAGGTTGCGTGAGAAACTATAACTCAGAAAGGAAGGTAGAGAAGTGACTGAACAAGACATGTCCTTGCCATCCCAGTTCCTGAAAAAAACCTCAAATAGATAAAAGGTGCTCCAGGGCCCCCACATCCTGCTGAATCAGCCTGACATTGAGGAAACAAACATCTTATCATGGTCACCAGTTATCCCAATAGGTCACCACATGCTCTGAGGGAAATTTCCAAATGCTTGCTTAAGCCCGGGGCCAACTGACCCAGGAAGCAGTCCCCTGAACCAATCAGAAAACACCAAGGCTTGTACTTCTCTAGCATGCGGGTTTTTCCCTTTATAAGCCCACTCCCCTGCTGGTTTGGGCTCCCCCCCCCTTTCCCCTGCTGCAACTCGAGTTCGTTCTTAATAAACCCCTGTGTGTTTGTGTCAGTACTTGGCTCTGCGGTGGTCATGTTCAAGGGACCTGCATCCTGGGCATAAAAGCAGGTGTGGGCTCTCTCCAAGAGATGTGCAGGCTTTGGCCTCCTTGTCCCTTTTACAGGAGTCCCCTTTTCGGTGCATTTTAATTTTAAAAATCATTTGAACATTTGGTTCTCTTCCCTAACAGGTGTTCTCACTTTGGGTTCATTAGATGCTACAAAGGCTATTAGACCCCTTCCTTGATAATGAAGTAGATTCTACAGAAATACATGGTGGGTAACTAACATTGTATTTTTTTAAAAAACTATTTTATTAAGACTTTTAAAGGGAGTATAGATAGACCTGTTTTTAGAAGTAATGCCTCAGACTGTTAATATGACCCAAAGAAACAAAAATGACATATGAAGACACATTTTCGTCTCTAGCTTCTGAAAGGGGGGTACAGCAGCAGACAGTTTAATGACATCTTCATAGTTGCTTTCCATAATTTACCATGCCCCAGCTGGCATGAAGCTGTAAAAGTCACAGAGGTTAAGCATGACAACATAAAATCCTTACTTGCAGTGTTCTCTTGTCGCAAAGGAACTTGTGCTATAAAAAGCTTGAACATGCTTATTTTCCAAGTAAGCATTAGCTGATACACAATAGAGCATGATATTTTCCATGGGGTTTTTCCCAGGTCCTGTCTGACCACTCAATGGCAAAGCATAAGACTGTGTTTGCCCATAGCTTAGTAAAAGCTGGGGCTGTTAAGAGAGGTGGTATAAACCATATCATCACCAGGGGACACAGACACATTCCACCTTCCTTCCCTAAAATTGTGTCAGTGGACCAATAGAG